GGAGAGAGAGAGAGAGAGGTATTTTGTTTGTTTGTTTAGTTAGTGGGGAGGTGCAGGTGGAGGTGGGTGTAAAGAGAGGAGCCTCGTACTGCAAATACTGGCCAGTGGTGTATGAGTAGATAAGAGTGGGACGTCTCATCTTTCTGTGCAGATAGAGAGTGAGAATTGTGGAGCCATTCGTCTTGTTTTGTTGTTTAGAGAGAGAATGATTGGAGTTATGAGTCTTCCTTGTTATTGTTTTGCAACTTCTTGTTTTTATTTACTCTATTTAGGATAGAGAGATGGATGGGACTGTTTTAAAAAACGGTGGGTCGAATTGGAATTTTTCAGTTCGACTCAAAACTGGTTTTTGGGGGAAAGGGAAAATCCGAGTGTAACGAAAGCCAGAGATGCTACATTCGTGCCATTTTTAATTTTTTTTTTTAAATTTTAGCTATCTCCATAGTCCATACACTAATCCGATATGGCGAACTAGTGAATTGCCAATCCCAATTGATTTCACCAGTCACAAGTACCAAGCCCAGTTCTGGATTTGAAAATAGTGGGTCGGACCATCCAAACATCTCTACATTTGTTTCATCTCTACAAGCAGATATGGGATTTTCTGATTGTTGGAGGGGACTCGCTTAATGTCATAAATTGATGCAAGAAAGTCCATCTAGCCAAGTGTAATGGGTATAAGTGTATGTAACAGTCTCTTTTAATATTGTGTATAGGAAGGCAAATGAATTGGCTGATGGTTTAGCAAAAAAGTTGTGTCCTTGCTGGAATTGGAGTTAGGCCTTCTTTTGTAATTGATTTTTTATATTCCTTTTTACTAATAAATTTTTTTAATTATATTAAAAAATATAGTCGATCAGCAATTTCCAATCCGGATCATTGAACTTTGAAACACCTCAAGAACCGCTTTCTCTTAAACAGAAAGATTGCAAATCTGATACATATTTCCATTTTGGAAATTTCCCTCCAAATTTTCTTCATCTCATCTAAAGAAAATATAGAAGTTGCTCATAAATGTGAACCAAAATCAAATCAATACTATGGCAGGAAGAGTAAGAGGGTTATCTCACTCATTGAGTTGGACGTGCGAATTAAAAGGAACAAATCATTTATTCTCATTTGGCCCCATGACATGGACATCCCCTCATCATCGTAGATGTGTAAAAGCAACGACCAAGAACCTCCCTTCATTGAAGCCACACGTATGGGGTTGCTGCATGGGCCACGTGACCTTTTGGGCGTGGAGCCTCCCATTATTCTTCTTTGGGAAAAAACCAAGGTACCACTATAGTATGGTGGTCCCCTTTCTTCTACAAAATGCTTTTTCTCTTCTTTTTTTATAGGTTTTTTGATCAGGCAATTATACAACACTGGAGAAATCCAGAAGAAACGAGAGAACCTAAAAGACGCGTGTATATACTTCATATTTTATAATAGTTCAGTACATGATTTTAAGAGATCACGGTATATCATGCATTTTATTCTATTATTATTATTATTTTGACAAGATCATGAAATTTTATTGAGGGAAAAAAACATAGCAATTACATTGACCGAGAATCACAAACTAAAATGTGGGAACCACTCATGCCACGTTTAGCTAAAATATCAGCTACATGTTGGGCTCTCTGTAAACGTGATAAAAATCTACCTGCAACCCATCAGATAAATCCATAATCTCAATCGATAATCTCAATCCGTAGAGATCTTCGTGTCCAAGGTGATCTCTGATTTCTCTTACACTAATTGATAATATTCAAAGAATCACCTTCCACCATACATCACTAGCTTGAGTATATCTCTTTTATGACTTTCAGGCTAAAAACAAAGTAGACAGTTTAGCCATATTTGCAATAAAGATGCCACAAGGACAGGAATTGCAACAAAGAATGTCGCTATATGAGTTTTGAATAACACCTCCAATACCAACAAGGCTCCAAGTTCTCATCAAACTATCAATAAAATTAAGTTTGATACACCCCATCACTAATGGGTTCCATCTTCCCACATGTCTAATAGATCCAAAAGATTGCCACATAGCAGCTTCCAAATTCATCATAATATCCAACTTAGTCACACCGTCCCCCTCCTTGGTAGTGGAGATTCACAACCATATAATGTGTAAGATATTTTCTTTTATTTGTTGTATGCATAGAAGTTTTTGTGCGAAGTTCTTTTATTCCGTTCCAACCAAACTTCTCATAATAATGTAGTCCTTGTAATATTTCACAGAATTTTCCCTTTCTTTGGCAAACCTGAAACACATAATTGCTCCAAAATATTCACATAGCATTGAGGTAGAAGCATAGCAACTCTACAACACAACTGAAATGCCCACCTCCAAAGAAAACATGTAAATTCACAATGGAGAAACCAATTCATCTCTTTTACAGAACAATCAGATATTAATTAGAATCTTACCTCGTTTCCTGAAATTATCCACAATTAAAGATGTATTTTGCATAAGGATCAAAAGAAAATTTTTTACCTTATGGGGGACATACCATTCTAAATCTTACTGAGGATCCTATTATTCCATCAAAATGCAATCATACAATAATAATTTATAAGTACATTTAACAGAGAAAATCCCATTACTTTCCTCTTCCTAAATTGTTTCATCACCCGGACTTCACTGAACTGAACTTGACTTCACTTGTAGGCAGTGTAGATTGAACTTGACTGCTTACTTCACTTGTTAGTAGAGACTAGGAACAACTATGCTGCGCTGCGTTGAACCTGCTAACAACACCATACACACACGGCTGACGTATGTATGTAGCCCTCGCGTCGATCTTACCTCCGCTGCTTGCCTGAGCGCGCGGGTCGACTCACAAGAAATGCAACATCTTCCTCTCTAGATATACAAGTCTATTGTAGCTCCTCAAGTAGTTCAATCAATTGCGAAATAATAGAATCAAGCATTTTGTTATATATTCAATGTATATTCCAAAGAGTCTCCATCTTTTGTCTAACACATATCTCATTCACTTTTGTATTGGAAATTTTTGAGAAAAGTTGAGGAAATATTATTTTCAAAGGCCTGTCACCCAACCATTTGTTTGACAAAAAATTAATCTTCTCACCATTTCCTCTACAGCTAAGAATACCCTTCCAAAGCAGTGAAAGATTATTCCCACCTTTCCTATTATATTTTGATCCAATCCATATTTTGCAACCAATACTCTCCTCCAAAGCTGCTCAGTTTCAATTATGGACCTCCACCACCATTTTGCCAAGAGTAGTGCCTGATTCACCAATTTTAATTATCTAATGCCTAAACCACCCTCCATCTTTGACATAAAAGCTTTATCCCAACTGATCAAATGATATTAAAAGCCCCTACAAAGAATTCCTCAGCATCCTTTCAATCAACTTGATTATATTATTAGGCATTCCAAATAATCTTCATCATTATGGTCTTTTCTCAATTAATTGAGGTCGGTTACACGAAACTTGGTCCGTCATTCTGCACTATTAAAAGCTATATCCTTAATGATGCCATAAGTCCCCATATCTTTTTGAATTACTTCCAACCATGTCCTTTTGGGTCTATCCCTTGCCCTTTTTTGTCCTTCCACCTAAACTAGCCCGTACATCCTAATATGTGTTGTACTTGGTCGGCACCATATATGGCCAACCCTACCTTTTTTCTCTCTTATTTTGCTAATTTGAAGATATCTTTTGCACATTTTCTTGTTTCTAGTTTATTATATAGATTGTCATATGCATTAAATTTAGTTTTACTTACTATTTGTTTAGCGTTTTTCATAGCAATTTTATATTTTTCTAAGTTATGATCGTTTCTATTATACTGCCAAGTTTTATAACATAATCGTTTTTAGCTAATGACATTCTGAACCTCATTATTTCACCACCAAGTTTCTTTACCAGACTTTTTTTTCCCTCTAGATTTTCCTAAAACTTCTTTTGCCACTTTCATGAGACAATCAACCATCTCATTCCATATTACATTAACATCATGTTCTTGGGAAATGCCCCAGCTACCCCTTTGTTTAGGATTCATGATAAGTTTTGACA